TGCAGGAGGTGGAAAGGGAAGCAGAGAAGCGGGGAAGAGGTGCAGAGGAGGCCAACACAATGCAGCAGGGTGGGGAAAAGGGGAGAGGGCACAACTGTGCTGTCACCAGCCCACAATCCTGGTCCCGGGCCTGCCCACCCACCCTACTCCCAGATGCTACACCCTGCTCACCTGCGGCCCCATTCCACCCACCTGGTTAAGTGTGCCCTGCCGGCAGGGGCCCCACACTGGTGTCCATGGAGACCTCATTCATCCACCCCATCCAGTGCCCCTGGATAGGGTGGACAGGCTAGGGTGCCTGGGCAGCAAGACGGGTCCGGTCACAGTAGCAACACTGGCAGAGGCAACCCGAAGGAGCCTCTGCCACTGCCACCAGGTCTGCCAGGAAGCTAAGCCCTGCCACTGCACTGCCCCAGCCCCACTGCGAGCCTGGGAGCAGTGGGGCCAGCTGCATGCATCACAGCCTGGGCTGCCCCCTGCACTGAGGGGACTGGTTACAAGCCAGATAAAATCCCTTGGCAGGCCAGATCCAGACTGCATGCCATATTTTTCCCACCCCCATTCAACATGCTAATCCCAAAATGGAAGCATTATTTGTTGCGTTATTATAACCCACATTTTTATGTAGGTTATGCATCCCCCCTGCATGTCCATAAGAGATTCCTGTTGAAGACTGAGGGACAGATTTTAGGGGTATTTGGGCATCTAAAGAAGCGGATAAATGCTTAGGCATCTGCATCATTAGGCTCTTAAGTGCCATTAAAAATCTGATCCTTCATTCTATAGCTCAAATGGACTTAGTTCTGCAGCTTGCAGGATCAAATCCCCACAATGAAGGTGATTATAATTACAAGCACAAGTAGTAAAGAAAAAAATCTTTACTATTTAATACAGGCTGCATTTGTAGGATGAGCTGTAAAGTTAGACTGTAACCTCAGGACACTCACCTGGGTGGGATTGTACAGTTCCTGTAGAGGACTTCTCGACCCCTTCCGACAACAAATGTCCATTCCAAATGGATTCCTACGCATTACTACAGGGGGGGAAATTGAAATTAACACAGGTTAGCAAAGGAGTATTTAGAAAATAAGATGACAGTAACACAGAATGTATACAGTGAGGACTGGGATTTCCAGAAATACTCAGGAATTTTATAAACCACTTTTTCAAACATCCACATCACCTCCTGTAAGAAAAGGTCTAAGAGCAGAGTGCCCTTAGTATATTCTGAGCTTGTACCCACCGGAACATGGCACCTCTCTTTCTGTCCCTACCAAAAGACGTCGGCCCACTTTGGGGCTTAGGTTTTTTGACAAACATCTATAATACAGGCATCTAAAACAGGAAGTGTTCCGATTTTCAAAAAGACCCAAGCACCTGCATCTCCCACTGATCTCATAGCACCAGCTTGCTGACCATGCTCAACACTTCTGAAAAAAAAAAATCAGGCCATGTCCAAGTGGATGCCTAAACCTGGACTAAGCCCAGTTCCTGATATTAAGCAACTGGATTTGCAGATTTTTGGCTTAAAACTTCAGTTTCCCCTCACTGCACTAAAGCATAACATGTGCAGTGTCATACCCTCGCACATTGGATATCAACTATGTGCCCGGAATGCTTGATCAGTTTTTTTAGACTGTTCCAGTCCGACAGCCGCAACCAACAAATACTATGTTTCTGCAATTGCAAGTAGGCCAGTTTTCAGACAGAGGCTTCATCCAAGACCTGATCAGCGAGATAGTTATAAAGTCAAATCGTGATGGTTCTCATGTTATAAGCAGGGATCATGGGTTTTCTCTGTTTAAAAATCACAAGTTATCTGATTAAAACCCTCCAAAATATACATTGTTAAAATAAAACGCCATTTTGAGCACAATATTTTATTTATATATTTACAATTTTAAAGGAATTCAGAAGTCTACTAGTGCCTCAATCACTATAATAAAATAAATTCTAAATACCCATACATTTTGGCATTTGCTTTTACATTTATTATGGAAAATCAGAGCTCCCCCGCCCCCTTTCCTTACCAGGATGCAGCTCCAGCTCCAGCTGTCTCCCACCACCTACTGCTTTGTGGCACTGAGCAGCTCTGATATGCCGGTGTCCTGCCCATGCCATTGCCCCTCACTCCCCACCCAGAGCCCCCTGGGCTCTATCAGTACCCCTCACTCCCCCCACCCCAAACCCAGCTGCCAGAGCTATGGGGCCAGGGACCTGCAGTCCTTGCCTCCTGTAGCTAAGCCCAAGCCCCAGCTGCCACTCATGGGAGGTAGTGGCTGCTATGACAGAGCAAAGCGTGGAGCCCAGCTCCCACTCCCCCATGGGTGGCAAGGCCACAGCAGAGCCCACTGGGGGGAAGAGGCAGATGCAGGCTGCCCGCTGCTGGCTCAGGCTCACTGCCCTGCTGCCCTCCCCCCCAGGGCCTCCACAGCCCAGCAGGCAAGACCTGACATGGCAGGGAAAAGCAGGGCCCAGTAGGGACACTCGGTGCCACTGCCACAAGTCCTGTGCCACCATGGCGAGGCACCCCCTTCCTGCCTGGCAGCCGCAAGGGGCACAGTTCTGTGCCACCACCCCTGCTGCTGTTGGGTGGGCAGAGGGTGCCTCACCATGGTGCCACGGGGCTTGTTGTGGCAGTGCTGAGCTTCCCTGCCAAACTGGGTCCTGCCCAGCAGGCTGTGGAGGCCCTGGGGGAGACCTGCAGGGCAAGGAGCCCAAGCTTGCAGTGGGCAGCCTGCACCCACCACCACCAATCTGGGGGGCATGCTTCCCCCAGGGGAGCCACCCACAGCCCAGTCCTGCTCTCTGCCTGGGCCCTGCAGCTGTGCATTCCAGCCCTAGGCTACAAGCCCCACACTACCCACGCTGGGCAGCAGCCCCCAACCTGCCCAACGCCCTCCCCACCCCCACCAGACTTACTTGCGGGGAGCTGCTCAGTTGCCATGTGCATGTGTATGTGCACACATGTACAGGGCACCCCCTGCTGATCACCCTTCTCCCACTCCCCTCACCCCCTTTCAGGCTGGAACTCTGCCAGCATGCAAGAGGAAACCCACCATTTTCTGCATTTTTCTCCTTTAAAGAGAATATCCAGGTTTTGCTGCGTTGTTTTGGAGAACGGAAAACCCGGGTCCTAGTTATAGGAGCTTCCAGAGGGAAGAGTAGAGATGCATCTTATAGACTAACTGAATTAGCTTCTAGGGGAGGTTAACTCGGGTCCTGGTCATGCAGCCAGGGCAGTAAAGTAGACCCACATGTCCAACCTTGCGGTTGATATGTTCAGGGGAAGCTTTGCATCCATGCTTGGACTCCTTGTAAATCAGTAAAGCCTTGTCATTTATGGAATTAAGAACAGACCCAAGTCCTCATTGTGAACACGCAAAAAAAAAAAAAAGATTAGAATGGGACTTATGTGGAAAAGGATATGAACTTCACAGAGCCCAACAACGTGAACTAGTCAGGCTTGTTAGGAATAATATAATATATTCTCTTTCATAAAAAGAGACCAATGTACATTATAGTAATGACCCAAAACAACACAGCTCACAATAATCATATTGTAAGTTTTCCTTTTATTGGTGCCAATCCAATATGGACTGATATATCAGTGCATCTATAGTAGTAAGACAGATGCAGGTGTCTAGTAAATAAACACAGCTAAATGGTTTCGATATTTTTTTCCACAACTGAAATACTGGATGTTACTACAGGTATAATTTTAAAGTAACTTGCTTAAATAGCCAATTCATTTTGGAACACTTTAAATCATAAAGATATACTGGAATCACTCCATTTTTAGGCTGCCATGAATTTTAAAAATATTTAATGTTGTCATAGTTGAAAACAAATGTTATGTGTGATAATATTGTAGATGCTTCAAAATCCAACACATTTTTTAGAATGTGACTTTTCATAATTTCTGTCTGTATTTCCCCATCTCTTTCAACTTGGACTTTGAAAATAAATCAGTCTCTTCCAGTTTTATCAGAGCCTAATTCTGTTCAATTTTATTCTTGGGCTGACTTGGAACATACAATTCTTCCGTGTTTGCAGTTTGAATGGTGAAAATGTTTTAATTTTTCATATTTTTTAAATGATATTAAATAATGAACTGAAGCTCGTTTGGGGTTTAAATAAACTTTTGGCATTGCTACACACGACAAGACCAAAGGCTCTTTTACACGTTACATTTATAACACTATTAACATGTGGCATAAATTTAAAAGCTACTACACGTGGACAACCCTGGTCTCCCACAATCTAGGAATTGCCCAGGAACTCTGTAAACAACACTGGTCCTCAGGACAGCCCCAGTTCTCCAGTAGAGCCTAGGGTTGCCTTTGGTTTGTGGGGAGGGAGGCAGGGGATGAAAATCAGAGGCTTCTAGTGGTTGCAGCTGAAGGGCTTCCCTTGCTGGGTATTTTAAAACTCATACCCAGGAGTTGGCAAGTGCAGGTACAAGCGATCAGAGACTCCTAGCAGGGGGACAATCATCTGATTATTGGCCCTGTTCCAGACAGCCCTGGGTCCAAAATCAGACCCAGGCCTGTCCAGGCCACAGCCCAACAATCTTCTGATTATTGCCCTGGACAGCCACAGGTGACCCTGACCTCAACCATGCAACACACAACACAATGCACAGCCTTCACATAATCCCACTGAAATGCCTCCATTTATATTTAAAAATACTGAAGTAGGGGAAGAAGTGGAAGGTAATGTTTCAATGCAGCCAAGTCATTATATTTTGATTAACCAGCATCCAAAACACTGATTCTTTGTTCCAAAGTGGTCTCATGGGATAAAAAGAATAATTCCAGTGTGCTATTCTTTCATTTATTACTTCACATTTCAGTTTCATTAAATATGGTAAACAGTAAAATGCATACATGTGAACTAGCTCTCCCTGGTTCACTTAGCAGGCAGAGAGCAAAGTGGCAACATTTTATAGAAGGCACTAGCAATCATAAAGCTTAAAATTATTTGCACAATGACAAGATTTGATTCTCAGACATAAACAAAACAAACAAAAACCTTCACTCCCCACTAAAAGCTAAATGCTAAATGTGGGATGTGAACTGTAGAAACCATTAAATCTTTATTTTATGGTTCCCAATTTTATTTAATTGTTGGTTTTTCCCTATGAAGTCTTTAAAAAGAGGTTGCAGGGTTAGCACAGCAATGTAGCAGCTTAAAACAGGGCCAGCCTTCCTGTGAGTCTGATTCAGTAACAGGATTCATTTATGTTTAATTAGGTTTCTATAGCGTCTCTGGAGAGAAGTAGTTCGCTGTGTTAGTTTGAAGTTAGACAGAAGGCAGGGCAGGGTGGCACCTTATAGACCAACTCCTTCAGAGGCATGAGCTTTCATAGGCTATAGCCTTCTTCATCAGATGCTATGAACAGATTTGCAGACAGTAGCAGTACTTAATAAGAAGGAATAAAGTCATTTAAATACAAAAGATATCCCATTACCTAGGAGTTATACAAGGTAGTCTATGTCCCCTAATGGGTTAACTGCTTTGTTTATCCCTTTTGATCCTGTCAACCCACCTTCACCTCTCTCAGCACATCCCTCCCCTTATCCTTTCCTTCCCCTTTTCCCATCCTCTTTATTTAAAGGATAACAAAAGAGACCCCTACTTTCCACAAAAATAGTCATAAAATGTGATGAATCAGGCTGTAGTCTACAAAAGCTCATGCCTCCCTGAAGGAGTCAGCCTATAAAGTGCCACCTACCCTGTCTTAGAGCATTTCTGTTTGCACACACCTTGGAAATATCAGGTTTGGGATTCATCTTTGGCATCTGAATAAGCCATTCCCTCTATAACAATAGATTCTCTATATGAAAAATAGAAGAGACGATGACTACAGAAAGAACAAAAAGGAGCCATTTCTACTACAAGAAGGAAGGAATCCCAAAGTACTGCAAGTTTTCTACAGGAGTTTGTGCATGTATGTTTTCCATTTTGGGTCTTTGTCAAATGTCCAAATTGAGCTCTGGCAAGATGGGAGGG